CTCCATTACAGATGAAAAAAACTGCAGCCCCAGTAACTTTGCCTTAGTCACATAGTAGAGTCAAAAATTGAATTTTCAAGAGCTTACACTAAACCATACTCCTGCACTGCTTCAGTAATAACTGCATATCTGTAAGACATGTTTCAGAGATAATCTTTTGAACACCTTTTTGTGCTCAAACTATGGGATGCACGTAGGTAGAAACTTCAGCCTTGTAGGTTGTATACATCTGAACCAGTGGAGCAAAAATGCAAAGCAGAGTGCTACAGCAGGTGGTACAGGCTGTTCAGCTGAGGGAGAGATGGCCATTAGCTATAGCTGCTGAATACATCAGGAAGACTGGCTTGAGCTGGCTGTATTTTGGAAAATCGGTGAAAAATTCCATGTTGGGAAGAGCCCAAGCAAAGATGCACAGATGGATGAGGAAGGGAGTAAACATGGCTTCGGAAGACCCAATTTATCAGTTACCCCAGCAACACAAATCACATCAAAAAGCCTATTTAGGTCACATTTCTTTCATGTTGCTTTAGAAAATACATTGGTAATTAAGATAGCTACAGCACTGTGCGTGTAAAATGAAAAAAGTAGTTCACTTAAAGACTGGGTTATGGGACTACAGGGAAGATGCTGCCTCAACTCAAACCAGTTGTTGCCCTCAGTGTGGCCAGATCTTTCCCTTTTTTAATATTTAGTTTTAGGTGGACACCATTTTTTTTTTAAGAGAGAGTGAGAGAGGGGAGAGAGAGAGAGAATTTTTAATATTTATTTTTAGTTCTCGGACACAACATCCTTGTTTGTATGTGGTGCTGAGGATCGAACCTGGGCCGCACGCATGCCAGGCGAGCGCGCTACCGCTTGAGCCACATCCCCAGCCTTGGACACCAAATTTTTATGTGGTGCTGAGGATCGAACCTAATGCCTCTCGCATGCTAGGTGAGCGCTCTACCACTGAGCCACAACCCCAGTCCCCATTTTTCAGGATTTTTATGTGAAATTTCCCAATCTGTAAATATAAGTAAATCACTAATAATAATAATGATGATCACTGTGGCCTTTAGACTGTGCTTTTAGGGTAGAATGAGGCCATCAAATATTAAAGACATTTTATATCTTTTATAAACTATTTCCAACCTGTCTTCATTTTTTTATAGAATGGAGATAAGCCTTCTTCCTCTGGAATCACCTGAAGGGCCTCAAATAACAACCAAAACAGCCACTCAGTTTTAATAGATGCTGGTTTAGTAAGGTATCTGAGAGGAGTTCTTCCTGGACCCCACTGAATACCTTGTGGTTTTAAGTCTCTTGCGAGGATCACTACGACTGACTGGAATAGTAATGCATATTCCTTAGAAAACTAAGTCCCAGGCTGGGGTTGTGGCTCAGCAGTAGAGCGTTTGCCTAGCACGTGTGAGGTGCTGGGTAAAAATCTTAGCACCACATAAAAATAAATAAAAGATATTGTGTCCAATTACAACTAAAAATATATATATATATTTTAAAAGATAATTTATGGGCTGGGAGTGTGGCTCAGTGGTAGAGTGCTTGCCTTGCAGGTGTGAGGCACTGAGTTCAGTCCTCAGCACCACATTAAAATAAATAAAGGTGGGGCTGGGGATGTGGCTCAAGTGGTAGCGCGCTCACCTGGCATGCGTGCGGCCTAGGTTCGATCCTCCAGCACTACATACAAACAAAGATGTTGTGTCCACCAATAACTAAAAAATAAATAAATATTTTTAAAAAATAAAAATAAATAAAGGTATTGTGCCCATCTATAACTAAAAAAATTTTTTTAATAAAAAATATAATTTATAAAAAGAAAACAAAGTTTCATGTCAGTGATAACATGGAAATGGTAGGTGAAACAAACTGATTTCTTTACTGCAAGACCTTTACAGCCTTCAAAATGTCAGTTTGCACTGAAGATCTTGAACTCAGGCTTAGTGTCAAGAACATTCAGCAAAAGTTTCTTCAATTCCAAAATGCATATTTTTCACAATATGCAATTGGGTATGTCTTATCAGTATATTATTATAGGTTCTATTAAGTCAGTGGTTTTATAATCAGTATTGTCAGGGTCAGGAATATTCCACAATTAGCCAGTGCTGCTGAGGAAGGGAATTTAGAATCTTTTTAGTGGAGAGTCATTTTTTTTTAATTTTTTTATTCTAATTTGTTACATATGACAGCAGAATGCATTGCAATTCATATTACACATATAGAGCACATTTTTTTCAAATCTCTGGTTATGTACAAACTATATTCACACCATCCGTGTCTTCATACATGTACTTAGGGAAATGATTTCCATCTTATCCACCATCTTTTTTATACCCCTTACCCCCTCCTTTTCCCTCTTCCCCTCTGCCTATCTAGAGTTCGTCTATTCCTCCCGTGCATCAGAGAAGGCATTTGGCATTTGGTTTTTTGGGATTGGCTAACTTCTCTTAGCATTATATTCTCCAACTCCATCCATTTACCTGCAAATGCTATGTATTCATGGCATTTGATTTGTGTATATATACCAAAGTTTCCCTATCCATTCATCTACTGACGGGCATCTAGGTTGGTTTCCCAGTTTAGCTATTATGAATTGTGCTGCAGTAAATATTGATGTGGCTGTGTCCCCGTAGTATGCTCTTTTTTTAATATTTATTTTTTTAGGTGTAGATGGACACAACACAATGTGTTTATTTTTCTGTGGTGCTGAGGATCAAACCCGGGTCCTGCCCATGCTAGGCAAGCGCTCTACCTTCGAGCCACAATCCCAGCCCCAGTATGCTCTTTTTAAGTCCTTTGAGTATAGACCAAGGAGTGGGATAGCTGGGTCAAATGGTGGTTCCATTCCAAGTTTTCCAAGAAATTTTCATACTGCTTTCCATTTTGGCTGTATCATTTTGCAGTCCCACCACCAGTGTACGAGTGTGCCTTTTTTAGTGAAGAATATTTAATACCTGAAAACAGCCTCAGCTTAACTGGGACTTTTGCTCAGAGCTTTTCAACATTTCCAGCTTTTTCTGTTTCTCAGGATTCTATCTTCCCTTCAGCTCTGCATCTGATGACTAGAATCCCAAGGATCTTGTTTTCTTTCTTTCTTTCTTTCTTTCTTTCTTTCTTTCTTTCTTTCTTTCTTTCTTTCTTTCTTTTTTATTTTTTATTTTTTATTTTTTGATCTTAAGTTTGAATTTATGTTTTGAAATAAAAATTCAATAACAAATTTTAACAAATTTTTACAAAATTGTCACACAGGAATACATCATAAGATACCATTACATGCTACATTGTCTTAGAAAAAGTCAGTAGATCGAATCAATTAGCTGTAAATTAAAACATGAATTCCTTTCTTTGGGCAAAAAGAAAGCTCATGTGAAATATTGGACAAAAGCCAGTGAGACCTGCCAGTATAGTCAGTAATGGCTCAGTATCTCCAAGTGTGAGGAAGCCAGGATTCTGGCCTTGTTGGCTGGGGCTAAGCTCTGTCCTCCAGTTTCCCTCTGTGCACAGGACAGGCTCCCACCGGATGCCTCTGAGGTCCTGTGTGCATGATTCTTTTATTTCCAGTAACTACATACAATTTTGCCACTATTTTACTTTGACTGTAAACTTCCGAAAATAACATTTACAAGTTTTACCACAAGGAATACCATGATTTTTACTATGACTCTCACCACCTTTGTAAAAATATCCATTTTGTAAGTTTCTGGTTTGGTCCGTCTTCTTATGGCACTATTCATGCCTAAGAAGCATCTGCCATAAACACACCTGTAAATGTAAGAAACCAGCGGATGGTGCTTTTCTGAAGCCCAGTCTATGACTCTGCCTACACTGAATAGGCTGTTCCACATCTTAGGCTCAAACCATTTTCTCTCAAATTACAGAGTGTCCAGCTGATAATTTATTGTTCTTTCCTTATATTTTCACTATTTATTGTACACAACATATTTTAGTATGTTCCTGTAGCAGTTCTTCATTTATCCTAACAATCAAAAATTGAATTATTTATTTATTTATTTATTTTTTGGTTTTCAGCGGACACAACATCTTTGTTTGTATGTGGTGCTGAGGATCGAACCTGGGCCGCACGCACGCCAGGCGAGCGCGCTACCGCTTGAGCCACATCCCCAGCCCCTGAATTTTTTAATATTAGCTCTTTAGACATTTTGTTGGTCTGTAAAGTTGATTTGCATAAAAACAAATGAGAAGAAACATATGCTGGTAGACCTTAGCACCTTAGAGTTATGATTCTGTCCCTCATTAATATTGCAAGTTAACCTTAATAGAATCAACTCAGCTTGCTCATACTTTCTCTAAAATATTTAGTTCTCTTCTTCAAGTAAACATAATTTTTTTTACAATAGGTATGCTCAGAACAAATAGCACAAAACCATGAGCTATGATAAGTGATGTAAAAATGCAATTGGCTGACTTCCGTTTATCAATTCTAAAATAAAGGCTTTGAACACGCCCATGCCCCCAAGTTCTAAGGTCCATAATCCCACATCATCATTTGTATAGTTTGACAAAAACTAGAATGCACAGTCTTACGTATGTGGAGGAAAATATTATAATTCATCATTACTGAAACATTTAATCTTCATAAATTATTGAAAATTCATAGCATGGCATCACTAAATCTTATGAATTATTAAAGATGTAAATTTACAATAATTTCCTCTCATAATAATTGCACCATTATCCATATTTATTTATTCCTAATTAAACTCAAGTCCAACTACCCAGTTTTGAGGTAGCTTCATTGTAGTTCTATTGCAGAAGTGGTATGTTTCAAAGTACCATCTTTAGGGCTGGGGATGTGGCTCAAGCGGTAGCGCGCTCACCTAGAGTGTGTGCGGCCCGGGTTTGATCCTCAGCACCACATACAAAACGAAGATGTTGTGTCCGCCGAGAACTAAGAAAAAATAAATAAATGTTAAGAATTCTCTCTCTCTCTGTCCCCCTCTCTCTCTCACTCTCTCTTTAAAAAAAAAAAAAAGTACCATCTTTAGATAAAATTTAAGTGGGAGAAGAAACAAAGTATTACTTATATTGTTTTCTCACTTGGAATACAAACTAACAAAATCAACTATTTCTTTAGGGATAAAAATACAGTTCTTTTGTGAGCATGGACACAATACATGGAATCTGTTTCTTTGCATGAAAAATGGAGTCAAGGGAAAAAGACTCAAATTCTGTTGCTACCTTTACCAGAGTGAGAATATGCATAAACTCAAGCTTATGAGCATACAGTTTCAGCATAGCACACAGTGACTGGATGAACCAGGATCCATCCTTAGAATTTCGCCAGGAATAGTAACCTGGTGCTGTAGAATATGCATATAAGAAGTCAGCCTCTACTGGTATTTTGTGGCATGCCCTGTCATCATCAATGCCACTGTCTGTCTCAATGCCATAGTCTAGTCCTGTACCCTGGCAGGCCTGAATAATGAAAAGTTTGGGTTTTCCAGTTAGACTTCTAAAATAATCTCCTCTGAAGAAACTCATTAATTTTTTCAGGACAACAGGTCCATTTGTTCCAAATATTATTCCTTCATCACCTTGGCTTAGAATTACACAAATAAAGCTGCTCCTTTTGCTATCATCTTCTTTAGAAACATTGTGCATTAATGCCACAATTTCTTCATGTGTAAGGTCATTTTTATTCCTGACTTCATATTTCAAGTTCATGAATGTTTCTCTAATGTTTGCTGCATCTACATCTGTACCAGACCGAGAGGCCATTCCAGTGCTTTTATGAAAGTTCTTATTATTAATTATCAAACATAAACCCATTTCAGGATAATCCATTTTGTAATAATTGCCCAAGGATATTCCAGAGTCCATTGATTTGCTTCCATGTATGATCTTTGGTTCAAAATTTTTAATAGATTTTGAATCCACTGGGTTTTCATTGTTCTCCATGGTTACTTTTCTTAATGCGTAGCTCTAGGGAGCGCCACTCTGCACACACAGCTACCTCTGCGACTGCCAGGCTTCTGCCACCCCCCAAGGATCTTGTTTTCTTAAGCTTGTTGGATTCCCCTTACCAGTACATGAACTTTTCCTCTGACCCCATCCCCATCCTGTACCTTAGGGTTGTTCTAACTAAGGAATCTTGATTTAGATGCCTGAATATCAAGTTCTTTTCCTGAGGAATTCTCTGCTCTTGGTGGCACGTCAACTTCATTTGGGGTATTTCTTCTTAGCATAGCAATCTGACATGGCTCTTTGTATGGAATTATCTTCGTTTCTGGAAACAGATCTTGCTACCTTTGTTTAGAGCCATTAAGCCTGCACCTGAAAGCGTCTATCTCCCTTGGAGTGCTCAATTACATGTGGACTTGTCCTTCATTCTGGAAAAAGGGGTTTCATTTTAAGAATTGTTAAAACAGGTCAGATGTATGACCTCCCAGAAAGGCAAACCCCTTTTCCTCACCAACAAAGCTAGACTCATTTTGTTGGATCCTGAGACTTTCTCCTAATCTCTTCTATATAATATTCACATGATTCATTCAGAGTCATCGTACTAGTATACCTTTATTCCTGGCGCTCTCCGCCATCTCTTCCCAATCCTGCTGAAGCTATTCCTTAGCCCAGCCTCCAAGGTCAGAATGGTCCCTGTGACAGCAGCCAGTACTGTTTTAGGAAACTCTAACATTGGAGAATCTAAGCAAAGATTCCACATATTTGGAAGGCTCTTGGAAGGATTGCTTCTGAGACAGAATGCTAGATAGTTACGAGAACATGGTTCCACAGGGTGAGGACCCAGAATCTTCATTTATTAATCCTATGTACAATCATCAGGGGGAAACCATCATTTAAAAATATCCCCACTGATTTCTTCTTGGTTCCCCTTAAAGGAGGACAGACTCTTCAGCCATAGGAAATTGATTGTGTTGATTGTGGAAAAGCTAAAAAGCCCTCTCTCTGCTAACTTCTATTTAAGAGTTTGCTATTATTTTGTTGTATCTTCTAGTACCATTGCCCATTTACATTATTTAAAAAGACACTGAGGGTGTTTACGGGCTTATAATTTCAATGACATAGGAGAATGAGACTGGAGGATCACAATTTTGAAACCAGCAATTTAGTCCTAGAGATACAGTTAAGTTGTGAAGTGCCCCTGGGTTTAATCTCTGGTACCAAACAACAACAAAAAAGGTACTGAGGATAAGATATTTACCTACTACCTTAGGGATTTCCACTTCTATTTAATTAACAAGACCTATTTATGAGGTCTCACTGTATAAGCTAATGGTTTCCATAATGTTTGCCTATTGTCTAAAATCGCTACATATTTGTTACCTTCCAGATTTCAAATTCTGTTGGCATGCTCTGGTTTTGAAAGCTCCTCACTGGCACTCTGATTGCTTTATCCTATTATTCTGTTATCTTTCTTCCATATAATAGTCTTCAAAAATCAGATGAAGAATTTCAGGGGTTAAGTCCTTCAGTTGGAGTATCGGTGAATTTAAATTTGTTCCATTTTCTTAATCCTTTTTTTAGGATCCTTCTTTCAGTTCTTCTTAATGCCACAGAGAGCTAGAAATGATCCACTTGGAATTTCAAATGAAAGTAAAATAGAAATGGAGATAAGTCACGTGAGAGAAAATTTTCCTGCAAGTGTAACAAAGTTAATAGAAAGCAAAAGTTACAACAGCAAGGTATTTTCCAAAGAAAAATACTTTCAAGCATCAAAGGAAGTCAAAGAAGCTAAGATAAAGGGGAAGAAGTCATCACGTGATTGTCGCCATGCTACAAAATATGATGGGGCATCTCTGTACAGGGCACAGAGAAATTGATAGAGGCTACTCATGGGGAGCGAGATCGAATATGGTGTTATGTACATAAAGAAGAGTTGTTTGATATTCTTCATTGTACACATCTCAGTATTGGGCATGGTGGGCAGATACACATGCTCAAGGAGCTGCAAGGAAAATATGGGAATGTCCCCAAAGAAGTCATTGTCTTATATCTCTCTGTAAACAGTGCCCTCAGAAGAATCCAGTGCCCACAGAGGCCTTGCACCTAAGCCCATGACTTTTAAAGACATGGACTCCAGATGTCAAGTTGAAATACTTGACATGCAGTCAAATGCTGTGGCAAGTTCAAGTTTATTTTATATTACCAGGACCACTTGACAAAGTTTCTTATTTTACGGCCATTAAAAGCCAGAAAGACCCATGAAGTTGTCAGTGTTTGTTGGATATATTCATAATTCTTGGTACATTCAACATGTTAGAATCTGACAGTGACATAGAGTTCACAAACCAATCTGTTAATGAGCTCAATGAGGTATGGCCAGACTTTAAGATTGTCTCTGGAGAGTACCTGGCTGGCCAAGGCCAGGGCTCCCTGGAACAAACAAAGCATGATGTGAAGAACATGGTAAATTTTTGGATGCAAAGTAACCACTCATGTTACTGGGCAGAAGGCCTATTTTTTTTACAGATGGTGAGGAATCAGACCTTTGACGTTTCCTTACAACAGAGTCCATATGAGGCAATGTTTGGTTGTAAAGCCAAATTTGGACTATAGTCCTCAAACTTGCCCCAGGAAACCGTGGCCATTTTATAAACAGAAGAATAGCTAGAAGTTGCTGAAGAAAAGTTAGAAAACAGCCTGTGGATCAGGCAGAAAGAAAGGGCCGAGATGGGAGCAGACAGATTGGATACAGATGAGGACATGGAAGCTACTCCTGAAGCTACAGAGCCCAGTACCTCACAAGGGGCCTCCAGGCTCCTCTGCTGGTAAACAGACACCTGATGGGGTGGACACCCACACATATCTCTCTGGGCATGACATTTTCACCTAAGAACTGTTACAAAAGACCCCAGAAAGACAAAATGAAGGCAGCTTTTGGGTTGAGTTGCACCCAGGAGTCCTTATTTGGAAGGAGAAAGCAAATCAAGTCTGTATATTTGCTCTAGAATGACTGTAATAAATGACCACAAAGTTGGTAGCTTGAAACAACAGAAATTTATTGTCTCACAGTTCTGGGGTCAGAAATCTGAAATTGAAGTTTTGGGATGGTTGGGAGCCTTCTGAAGGCTCTGAGAGAGAATCTATTCCATGCCTTTCTTCTTTCTCTGGAGGCTACCAGCCATCTTTGGTGTTCCTTGGTTTGTGAGCTGCCTAAGTCTAGTCAGCTTCCATCTTCACCTGGTCTTCTCCCCTGTGTCACTGTGTATGTTCTGCTTTTCTGTCTCTTGTAAGGATACCACTGGACACCAAATCCATGTTTTTGGATTTATTGCCACCCTAATCAAGGATGATCTCATCTCTTAAATTACTTCGGCAGAGACCCTTTTTCCAAGTAAATTCACATTCACAGATGCCAGGGCTTTGAACTGAAGACGTTTTTTTGGCGGGGAGACAATTCTATTTCAGTCAATAGAAGAACCTCTTTGCCTGCAAGTCGAGAACTAATGGGATCTTAAGCATGGGGGAGGTGGTGTAGGACTGCCTGACATATATCTAGCATATCCTCCTGCCCCTCAGACAGATACTCCTAAAGATAGAGGCATTAGAAGTAGATGAGGGGCTGGGGATGTGGCTCAAGCAGTAGCGCGCTCGCCTGGCATGCGTGCGACCCGGGTTCGATCCTCAGCACCACATACCAACAAAGATGTTGTGTCTGCCGAGAACTAAAAAATAAATATTAAAAAAAAAAAAAGAAGTAGATGAAGGAAAAGTAGTGAAAATAAAAGAGGAACCAGGTGCAGTGGCACATGCCTTTCATCCCCATGATTCAGGTGGCTAAGACAGGAGGATTGCAAGTTCAAGGTCAGCCTCAGAAACTTAGTGAGACACTGTCTCAAAAAAGGCTGAGAAAATAGCTCTGTGGTAAAGCACCTGAGTTCAATCCTCAGTACCTACCCTCCCAAAAAACAGGTTGGTCTAAAATGCCCTAAAGACCGGTCTCTTCACCAGTGGGGTGCCATTTTCTGCTTCAAGAGAAATCCTAAGTGCCATTCCTGCTCTCAGAATGGCAAGCACTGGAAATGGTGTGGCCTGCCTGAAACATAAAACTAGGTCACAATTAAGACATGGCTGGAATTTGGATCCTGCTACACCACTTGTTTATGCCTCAAGCATTTAAAAGCATGTTGTATTTCTGGCACAGGTCAGTGAATTCCAGGAAGTGACCAATAGGGAAACAAAACAAAAAGTTGACTTGAGGTCACTGCTTCAACTAGGAAGGAATAGGGCATGTCTAGTCTGGGTCATAGTTCTGAATAAAGAGGACTGACCTGGCCAAAGGGAAAGATGATGCCCAGGATCTGTTACGCTATGTTTTCAAGGCCTAGAAAAAACAGTGGGAGGTGTTCCATGAGTTGATCCTGTGGAGATGTGCACAGAAAAGGAGAAAGGGTCCTTTATTCTTCATACAGTTCTCCTTCCTCATAACCCAGAGCCATCTAAAAATGATTCTGGCTGAGCACGGTGGTACACACCTATAATCCCAGCAGTTTGGGAAACTGAGGCAGGAGGATTACAAGTTCAAAGCCAGCCTCAATAATTTAGGGAGGACCTAAGCAAGTTAGTGAAACCTTGTCTCAAAATTTAAGAAAAAAAAAAAAGAGCTGGGGATATGGCTCAATGGTCAAGCACTCCTGGTTTCAATCACCAAAAAAAAAAAAAAAAAAAAAGGCTGGAGATGTAGCTCAGTGCTAGAGGGCCACAGGGCTTAATCTCCAGTATTAAAAAATAATAATAAAAAAATAAAAACCTAATTCCAATTAATTCTAATGCCAACTTCCTCTTCTTTAGGGGACAATAACAACTCTGATGTTTCCTTCCTCACAGGGTTGCTTTGAGAGACAAGATAATGTGAAGGGACTCTCCATAAACAGTAAACTTCTACTACTACTAGTGAATCCTAACATCCATGCAAGACTTGGAAAACTATGTTCATTGCCATTCCTTTTCGGGTTAAACT